CCCGGAGATGGGTGAGCCCGTGGGGGGTGCTCAGATCCAGCCCAGCCCTCGGCACCCGCCGCGGAGGTCGGCTGACGTTTCCCATGCTGGCCTCAGGCCCTCGGCCGCGGTGCCGTGCCCGGGGGTGCCTGGTGTGAGAGCTCTGACTCACTGTGATCGATAGGCTCGTTCCAGACTGCTCTCCGTGCTGCTGCTGGTGTTTTCAGCTTTTGCCAGTACCAGATCAAAGCAATGAGAGACACATAGCTGAAAACAGCCCTTTATTAGAAACAGCATGTTTAGGACTGTGCAAGAGGGTATTTCTTATTACTAATTCTCAGAGAGCTGAGCTGCCAGCCTATAAAAGTATTGGAGGGTGGAAAATTGCTGTGCGGGGGCTAATGGGACTTTTGCAGCTGCCTCATAGGAAATGGCACCTACCGAACACGAAGGAGAGGACAGCTCCTGAAATGACAGGGAAAGATTAAGCTCTAATATTTTGCAGGCTGCCAGAACAAACGAAGGTCCCTCTTTGCCTTTGCAAGCCATGGGAGGCAGAGATGCAGAAAGCAGCGTCTCAGGCTGCAGCCCATCCGTCGATCTGCTGTGGCCCCTGTGTACGCCCTGCCCACTCCCCATCCTGCCTGTCATTGCAGCTGCCACCCCAAATCCCTGCAGCCATCCCAAGCACTGTCCAGCAAGTCCCTGTGTATCTCGCTCACTGAGCGAGGCCATTAAGCAGCCCCCCTGCTCTGTGCAAGGTGCCTTTGCAATGGCTCTGTAGATCCAGGTGGGTCCCCGGAGAGGCAGCGTCACATCCTTCAGCCCTTGCGGTTGGACAGGTCTGAGCTGCGACATGACCCAGGCCACCAGCTCCTGCTGCATCTCTCCCTGCAGTGCTGAGCCAGCAGGTCAGGAGCTGGGTGGTCTTGGCTGCTCGGCTTGGCTGGGAAGCCCACTGAGATGCAGGTGGGGACTATGGAAGTCCCAAAAGCTGGAGACTAAGCGTAACATGTTTGGAGCATGTGCATGGGGAGAGCTGCAGGGCTGATGGTCTGTAGAGATGTGAACTGGTTGGTTCAAACCTGTGATTTCTCCCCAGGCAGGAGCTTTCCTGCAGCTCAGCAGGCTGGGACCCAAGAACTGAGCATCACCAGGGCTCCCGGGTCACCCAAGCTGAACTTCAAGGGTGAACTGTTCCTGCTTCCTGTGCTGGTCCGGGAGTGCCCTCGTCTGGGGACTCGTGGCCAGTGTCTGCATTCAGAATGACGCCCTGCTGAGGCGGAGGTGACAGAGCCCTGTGTCACCCATCTCTGTCACCGGGTCCCCTTGCTCTGCACGATGAGCTCCCCTGTGCTGCGCGGAGGAGGCTGACAGCTCACCCCTCCTCCTCCCACAGCAGCCTCAGACAGGGTCTGTGAGATACGGCTGATCCTTGTGCTTCCCATCCTCCTGATGCCCACGTCAGGGGACTTCTGGTCTGTGGACAAGGAATGGATGAGGTGGCTCAGCTCGATGCCTTACTGCCGCAGGCACACTGATGTTCCCACAAAGACAGCTCATCGCTCCCAGTGGTACACAGCACAGGCAGAGCTGCATCGGCACTTATCCTGTCTGCCCTGAAAACAACACTGCCCAAGGTAAGGACAACCCCTTTGGGTGTTTGTGCCTGAAAGCCAAGAGGGGTTTGTCCCCGTGCACAGCTCCACAGCTGGCACTGAATGCCATCCCACACCACGTAGCTCGTGTGTGGTGTTCCATGGGGGCTTGGCTGCTGCACACGTGCACAGCAGAGCAGCTTCCCCCTGCTCCTCCTGGCCTGGGGAGGCTTTCCCCCAGTGTTGTTAGAGTAGTGTATGTCCAGCAGTGTTAAACCCATTCCTAGTGTGGGTGACCAGGCTGTACAAGAGGAAACCATCCCACACCCGAGGGGCTGCCTGGGCTGTTGTGATCTGCAGGCAGCAGAGTTCAGCGAAGGGCCCAGGTACTCTGGGACGACAGACAGCCTCGCCCCGGGAGTCAGCCAGCCTGGGACACAAACAGAATCTGACACCTGACATGGAGACGAGGGAATTGCAGCTCAGGAGTGGAGCAAGTAGTGCCCAGCAGATGGCCTGGCGTGACCTGGGGTGGAGTGGGCTCTGCCCATGCTCAGAGGGCTGGCACAAGCCTCCCCAGCAGACATGAGACTGGGGGACACCCCGTGCGCTGGGGGCTGTGCTGCAGCACGACACCCTGCCATGCATCACCACGGAAATGTTAGCCACGTGGCTATGACTAAGGCAACGAGTCCCTTGCTGCCTGGCTGTGCTTAACAGGAAACCAGCTGGAGTGTCGGGGCTTTCCAGCATCCTTCGACCCCTCCCTCCTCCAGTGCCTGCCTGTGCGTAGCTCCCACGAAGCTCCCACCAAGCTCCAGGAGTTGAGCAATCCCAAGCACTTGGCCTTGGGATTGTGTTTGCTTTGCCTCAGACATGTGGTCAAGCCACTAAAGCTCTGGAAGTCCCTGTGAGTCAGCTGAGGGGCAAGAGGAGCCCCCTTTCTGAGAAGCACCAGGCAGCCTTTAACTTGGCTGGTGGTGCCGTTGGCTTCATGGCCGATAGCCATGCTGGACCCATGGCTGGTTTTGCCAGATGGGCACCACCCACGCACGATGGGGCTGCTGTACCACAGCAGGTGGAAGAGCTGAATGCAGTCCTCTGGAAGACGGTGGCAGTGGATGAGCTCCAGAACCAGAGATTTACCCAGGCAGACCAGGCCCCCAGGCAACCCAGCGAGAGGTGAGTGCCCAGCTCCCAGCAGGACCTGGGACCCAATCCACCACTGACCTGCGAAGAAGTCTGGGCTTGGGGTGGGAGATGCTTGTGACTTAGGGTGAAGGGTGCCCATGGTTTGGGGTCGAGGGTGCCCATGGTGTGGACTAAGGCATTCAGCTCTCATGCTGGGCTCCTAGAGCTGACTTCAACGCCAAAGGAGAGCCTGGGAGAAGAGATGGACATCTTGCTTCCTTTGAACTCTTTGGCTGTAGCCAAGCACTGCTGCAGCCCCTCACACGGGTGTCTTTTCCTTTTTCTACCAGCTTGCTCCCCACCACCCTGCAGCACCCTCCGTGCCTGATGTCCTTGTCCCATGCCCTGACAGTACACATAAGGCATATTAAAATAGAGTTTATTGCTGTTCTTAGTTTACAAAACCCAAACCCATTAACAACAAAGCCAGTCCCCAAACCCAGTGCTGCCAGAGGCAGGCTGGCGAGGACACATCTTTTAGTGCAAAGAGGGACATGGCAGTGAGGGCTGGAAGGGGGGCTGCGTTGCCACGTCCCCGCAGGACCCG